AGCCTGGCAATCACACTACCGTTTCTGCTATACTCCTCCATCACTCTGATGATGTCATTCATTTTCTTCTCAAGTCTCTGTTACACTCTCCAATTCCTCCTTTCTCTCTGTTGATGACCAATCCCCATAAAGTAAACAGAAACGCTTAGATGAGACTTGAAGCTATCACATCATGTCTCTACTGATGTTGTCTTCCCTCCCATTTCTATAATAACATGCTCTACTGGTGAGGCAAATGCAAAGCTAGGTCAAGGCCTTGCAAACCACAAGGCCTGTCACCCACATGCCACCTGCAGCTGCTTTCACACTCTACAGAGCAGCAAGCTTTGTCACTGGATGAACAAAGACTGCACGGCTCACTCTACCTGCACCCCTTACAATTCAGGTCTTTAAAGCAGACAGGCTACATGGCCCACTACACCCTGTGCATAAGAAATGAAGATTCACAAGACACATGCAATACATCAAGGTTACAACAGGCAGAATGATGACAAAGAAAAAAATCTGAAGACCATGTCCCATGTAAACTGAATGGCACTAAGACTTTTCAACAACTTGAAGGTAGGAAATCATTCAGCAATCCTTTTAGTTTATGGTGTTCCCTTCTATTTCACGGTGCTCCCTTCTGTTTCAAGGAAGTATTATCCTCTTAATTCAGGATCTAGCCCAGACAGTGATCAAGGCAGAAAAAAGTATTTTCAGCCACATCAACAATTCAAAAAGTTCACGCTGCCACGCATATTTTGTTTGCTATGAGTCAGTCTCACACTTTGGCCCAGACCAGCCAGGAACTCCTAGCAATCCTTCTGCCTCAGCTTTCAAGCACTCACTCAAACAAACGGGACACTTGCTGGGAGCACAGTGGTGGGAGCTGTGCACCCCAGTGCAGAACAACACTGCAGATTGAGCAAAAGCAGAGGCTTCTTAGATGCTCCCAGTTTTTAACAAGTTTGAATACCTATCACCTTACGTGTTGGTAGATTTGGACAGACTATAGACAAAAGAAAAATAAGCAGGGAAATACAAAAGAAACTCTAATGCCAACAAATTTAATCATAGTACACTGCAAGGTTCACCATTAAATATATTTGCAGAACCATAATAATGCAAAAGCAAATAATCAATGAACTTGTAATCAAAAGCACAACATCAATGAACTTGTAATCAAAAGCACAACATCAATGAACTTGTAATCAAAAGCACAACATCACAACTTAGGGAAGACAACAGAGGAAGTTCAAGGTAGCATAGGAATCCTAAAGTAAAACCACTGTAAAAAAATTTAAAATTGAAAAACAAAACTGTAGAACCCTGCACTTGTGCCTTCAGAAGAAAGAAAAAAACAAACCAAAACAAGAAGTATCAAAAACTGCTGTCCCATAAGCAGGACCTAGGAGGAAAGTCATGAAGAGAAGTGGGAGGGGACTAAAGGTTTTAAGAGTCTTGTAATGTAACTTCTCACATATGCACTGTATTAGTAAGTACTAACTTAAAGAAAAAAACAAAGTGGTCATATCACTTAATACCAATTACTTTACTCTCTGACGAATAATTGAATACTAAGTGTCAGGTACTTTTCTAAGAAGGGGAAGATGGGAAAGGAGGATTAAAACCCATCTGGAATATTTAAAATGAGTTCTTGAATAAAACTTGGGAACCAAATAAAATAAAACCATAAAGCATGAAAAAGGAAAGAGTGCAGATTAATTAAAGACTATTGGAATTTTATCATATCCAATCTTCATTCTCTCACTAAGAAGGAACTAATGGGAATTTAAACAACACTTAAGGAAGTAATTATAGAGTAATGCAATAAACCCACTCTCCTTTCCAAGGGACCTACTAACAGTAATGTAACTTCAAGCTCTCTGAACTCCATTTTTATTGAAAAGTAAATAACTATTAAAAAGCGTGAAATCCAGACAGAAGTGACTATTTCAAATATTAGATAACAAAAACTTTGTATTCAAAAAACAGGATCCATTTTAATGCACTTTATTTGTGTTCATTTTACATACCCCAAAAAAGCAGTAGTTTCATAGAAAAGAGCCAATTTCAACTAACAGATTAGCATTTAAAAGTTTCTCAGAGCCAGGAGGTGGTAATACATTCCTTTAATCCCAGCACTTTGGAGGCAAAGGTAGGCAGATATCTGTGAGTTTGAGGCCAGCCTGGTCTACAATTCCAGGGCAACCAAAGCTATACAGAGAAACCCTGTCTCCTCCAAAAACAACAACAACAACAAAAAAGTTTTCTGGTGACCAAGTGTGCATCTTCCCAAAAACCTCTACACGCCAGAGGAGGAACATCACACTCCAGTAAGAGCTACTGTCTGGACTGGGAGTCACTGAAGGCTTAGTGGTGGCTCATTTCCCACTCTGAAATGAAGAGAATAATGCCTACCTAGGGTAAAGGTTAATTACTGATAGTCCTAAGAAGTAATGAAATATTTATAAATTCTATTAAAGCTTTGAAATCTACAAAGATCTACACCAATGTGTGTCACACTGATTATAAATCACAGCATAAAATGATCACTTCTTGTCAGATTTTTCACTTCCAGTAAGATTTTTCTTTTAACTACAGAAGAATGATAGAGTGCTGTTTCACTGGGGGACAGGGAATGCTTTACTTTAATTCTTAAAGACTCTTATAAACAAATACAAAGAGAATATCAGCAAACATTTCATTTAAGTATAGAAACCCAAAGTATAATTGTTTAGCCACATAGAAACCGCACACCCTCTGATTCCGGGTAGACACGTATTTTGAGTATGTTTGGAAACCAGATACCCAGTGTGCATAGACGTACGCATAGTTTAGGACAGTTGTCCTAGTGCTTTTGTTCACTAGCAGCCCCTTCTATTTTCAGAAGGAAGAATGCAAACAATATCCTAACTCAAAAGGCATTGTGAGTTTTTTAAACTAACAGACCTGCCCGCTATGGCTTTATCTCCATCGAAGCACAGCTATTCTTCTTCTGCAGAGTCCCCTCCACATCCATCAGACTGCAGCACCAATCAGGTACTCAATGTGTGTAGAATAAACTAGCCTCTGGACAAAGGCTTCAAAGTAGCTTGGCCTGGAGGTACACATCTTTAATGCCAGCACTCTGATGGCAGAGACAGGCCTTTCTCAGTGAGGGAGAGGCCAGCCTAGTCTACATGAATTCCTGTACTTAAAAAGACCCTGTCTCAAAACAAAACAAAACCCGAAAAAAAAAGGTTCAAATTGCAATCAAATTAATTTCACCAACAAATCCATCTTTCACTGCACACAACCACTGTTCCAATTGTAAGGACATAATAAACTAAAAAAGATACTCTAGTAAATGCACACAAACTGCATTACTCATGCGTATCTGATTCACAGTCGACCTTTTTTTTGGTTTTTTACGAGACAGGGTTCCTCTGTATTGTTTTGGAGGCTGTCGGACCAGCCCGGCCTCGAACTCACAGAGATCTGCCTGCCTCTGCCTCCCGTGTGCTGGGATTAAAGGCTTGCATCAGCACTGCCTGGCCACAGTTGACTTTTAAATTGTATTTTTCTCGCATAATTTTTGGGTGTATCCTTCCTGATACTATAATACCAGAAAAGTATACTGTGATCTTGACAAACAGATCTTTCAACTTCTGCTGCAATCTGGTGTAAAAAGACAAAGTGAACAATATTTCTGAAAAAAGTAAAGTTCCTAAAATCAGGGGAAGGTAGGCTATGATGGGATGGGGAGGAAGACAGGTCTTAGTACTTCAAAATTACTATGCCAGAATTTAAAGCTTAAAATAACTACACTTAAGTTATTCAAAGGAACTATAATAAACACATTTAATCTACACATGTGGCTAAGACACGTAATTTTCCACATTTCGAAGCTTCATGGCTACACGTGCTCACTAGAGGTTATTATTATTAAAAAGATACTGTTTGGCTATAAATTCCACTTCAGCCGTAACAGCATTACACTTACTATATTTGTGATGCCACAGCCGGAACAATCATATCTGGGTGGGACAGGCTTTATAGTTTGCAAGTTACCAACTGTGGCACTGCGGTTCTCCTGCATGCAGGGAATGAAAAGTTCCTCGGGATTCTAATGGCCACCTTCAAAGACACACGGACTCGAGTCCACCGGATGGTAAACATTAAACAAACAACACCAAAGTCAACTCATAAACAAACACTGGCACAGAAACAAAGCTCCACAGCTACTCAAGCGTTACGAGAGAAAGGAAATACAGAGCACCTACAGGGAAAGGCTCAATTAACTGTCGCCCGTGTTTTCATCCTCCGATCTGAAACAATAGGCACTGGAAGCTTCTGTGGAGCGCTTTCTGCAGAAAGATTTCGGGTTGCAATCGCCCCTCCTCCACAGCTAGCATCAGGGCCCTTTCTTCCTCCTCCCTCAACCCTCCCAGCTCAAACAAATTAACATTCGTACCGAGGTACCTCCTATCAGCTCGCAGCTTCTTCCCAAACACGCCCACGCACCCTGAAACCCGCCTGCGTCCACACCGCACACGGCGGCAGGAAAAGCGCTTCGAGGGGGGCGGGGAGCCGCGGCAGAGCACAGGTCCGGGCTCCCTTCCAGGTCGGCTCCCCATCACCTCCCAAGCCCGGTGTTTACGAGCCCGCCCAAGCCCATATTGCAAAGGAATTCCCGACGCTGCGGGCAGATAGCGCGGCGGTGCGGGAGCCCCCCTCCGTGTCCGCGCGCGGCCTCGGCGGCGCCGCCGCTCACCGCGGGCGGTTCGGCCCCGCAACAGGTCACCCGCCTCGACCCGCCGCGGGGTGCAGGCACCCGGCCCGGGAGGGGGTGTGGCTGGCACGGTGGGGCCCGGTCCGGCTCACCTGAGAGGCTGAGGCGACGCCGGGGCCTCCGCCACGGCGGGACCGTGAGCGCCCCGCAGCCCGTCCTCCCTCCCTCCCTCCCTCCTCCGTGCCGCGCACCGCGGCCGCCGCCATTGCCCGCTCCTCCCCGCACGGGCGCCCGCCACGCCGACCTGTGTAGCCGCGGCCGTCGCCTCCGCTTCGCCCGCAGCTCCGAGGCAGCGCTCTTGCAGCCGAGCAGTCGGCGTCTCTCATTCAGTGCCCGCCGCCGGCGCTCGGGGGAGGGGAGTGCGCCGGATCCACCCCGGCCGCGCAGGGGGCGCGCGGCGGGCGGGCGGGCGGGGCGGAGCGGCGCAGCGCGCGCACCAACCGAGCGCGCTCGCGCGGCCGGGAGCTCCGGGTCGCCGGGGTCTCGGCGCGCGCCGCGGACGCCCGACTGGTGCCCGCCGAGCCCAACTGCCGCCCGTACCGGTGTCCTCGGCGCGCGCAGCCGCCGCAGCCGCAGCCGCAGCGCGGGCCACAGAGAAGAGCCCCGGGGCTCCGGACGGACGGACAGGTGGAGCTCCACGGCCGCTCCTGCGATGCTGGCGCAGCTCACCTTTGAAGCCAGAGAACTGAAGTCAGGAAACGCTTGACCCCGGGATCCAATACCCAGCCCACGCAGGCGGCGTCCTCGGTTGTCGTGGCGGACAAGTGAAGGGGCTGCAGATGGGAAGTCATCCCACAAGCGATGGGATCGTAAATGATGGAGTCGGTACTCTCACACATTAACATGCCGGAAGTGTTGGGTAGGCCTCTGTAGGTGCTAAGCAGGGTGACTGACTACCCTTGGTTTTATAAACAAATATCAGAAATTTGGCATCCCCCCAGTCCCAGGCTGATGAGTTCCAGGTGGACCTTGTGGGGACGTGACACTAAAACGTGAATTTTTTTCCTGCGAATGAATGGGGATGGTAGAGTGTTGTTTCTCAGGGTGCACCTAGGTGGCCTACTTAAAATTAGCACCATTTGATGCAGTGTGACTTAGTGGAAGGTTTTTCAGTGAGCCACCTAGATCATTCGGGAACAGGTGCAGTCCTCTTTTAGGCAATGTACAATGGAATGTGGAGGGACAAGTCTGTAGCGGCACTGACTGTAGATTGTGAAGGGACCAAAATTGTTCTTTTGATTTCCTGCCTCCATATAATAACTAAAACAGAATGGATTGCTCTTTTATGCAGAAGAAAGCTAGCAAGTGTCCCCTTGGACTGTCTTCTGTCAGCCTTACTCTAGTTGGACACGGTAGAGTGCTCCTTCATCCCCTTGGCTAAGTCACCCCCATGCAAAAGTAGATGTAAGGTAGAAACATAGCAAGCAAAAGCAATAAAGCCCAATGTTGGGTTTCATTCCATTTTACTGTGAAAGTCTCCCCAATAGTGGTGGAATCACTGAGAAACCAGAAAAGAAGGGGAAAAAACCATCAAATTTTCAGCTGAGGCTAGAAAGGGCAGTGGGGAGAAGAAACAGGTGACTGTGGAAAAGGCTTCCAGTACGCTGGGGTGTGGGAGCTTTCCCCTAATACTATTTCCTTCAAGTCCCAATCAATGGGCAAACTGAAATAACAGTCTCACTTGAGTAAATGATCTTTTTTTCTGAGTTAGAAAGATATTAAGGAAAAAGTAGTTGACTATGTGCCAACAATAATGCATACAGTTTTTATATATGCATATACCATTACCCCAAGTTATTAACTGCTTTTAAAATAGTAAACTTAGGAAATTGGGGGATTCTATTGTATATAAATGCCTTCAGTTACTTTAAACTTGAATTGGACCGTCATAAAAACAAATGAATCCAGTTCTCTACATCTGTCAATAATTTTCACAGTTTACTGTAAAAGCAGTAACTCAGACTTTGAAGAGAAAAAGTTCAGGAGTTCATCCATCGATGTATACAGTGTATTCCCATGCCTGCAGAATGTCTGAATTTGATATAATCACCCAAAATGTGTTGCTCATGTTGACAGCCTGCAAAAATCACACTTCATTAACCGTAAGAGTTCAGTTAAGGTTTTTTTCACTTGATAAGGTTGAGAATTTCTGCATGAAGAAAAAAGTTGCAAGAAGCTGGGAAGATGAGTAAGAAGGCAAAGGCACCACTTACCTAGTAGACCTGAGGGCCTGAATTCAGCATCTATCTGAGTGGCAAGTAAAAGGCCAGAATTTGACAAGCTTTTGTAATCCCTGAACTCCTGCAAGGAAATGGGAGGTGGAAACAGGAGACTTGAGTAGAAGCGCTTGGACCAGTTAGCCTGGAATGTGCAGCTGTGCCTGTGAGAGACCCTACCTCACCCAGGTGGAAGGTGAGAGCTGCCCGCTGCCCACAGCTATGGCCTGAGTGCCCACATTTGCACACACAAAATAATAAAAAAGAAAGATGATGCCTGGCGTGGGTGGTGCACGCCTTTAATCCCAGCACTCGGGAGGCAGAGGCAGGTGGATCTCTGTGAGTTCAAGGCCACCCTGGTCTACAGAGCGAGTTCCAGGACAGGTTCCAAAGCAATACAGAGAAACCCTGTCTTTAAAAAACAAAAAGAGAAAAAGATAAGTGTGGTACTCGCTCTGTAATTCTAGGGGTCGGGTGGCTGAGGTGGAAGGACAGTCTTCAATCCTAACTCCAAAAGCCAAAAGGATAGAAAAAAGCGTATGTTTTTGTTGTTGTTTGTAAACTGAGTTATTTCAAAGTCTGTTCCCCATCCATTTATATGTAAATAAAGCAGTTACTACTTGCAACAAATTTTCTTTACCAGAGCACTATTTTTTTATAGTTCTGTAAGTTGCTTTATGAGTTCTATTTGCTTTTGCCAAAAGAAGAAATCTGCACAGTCTTAGAACAAAAAATGCTAATGGATACAACAGAAATGCTATTATATAAAATAGAAATCGATAAGAATTCAATATGCTTAAAAGTCATTTTGGGGGAGTCACCATTGTGTAACAGTTTTATTACTGTGCATTACATTACTTCCAAGAGGTATGCCAAGGGACCCATTTAGATAGAGAATGGGCACTTCAAAGGCAAAACACCACTAGAGAAAAAAGCAAATCAAACAATTCATCTCATTGTCAAAACCAAATTAAGCAGGCATCTTGAAGTAACATGTCAGCTGCGTTTCCAATGTTCTGTTCTAAAATACAGGCAAACCAGGATTTCCAAAAATCCCCGATGGGGACAGACTTAAAGGACTTTGGAGAGGTAGATGCTCTACAGAAAATGGATGCGCAGCTATGAGGAGAGTCTGCCAGCCTCCCAGCAGAGAGAGACATGCAATAGAGTCAGGATACTAAGGGCAGCACTGAACAGAGCATTCAAATCTGGGTGCCATATTAAGTGATTTACAATATAAGCTGTACCTTCCAGGAGTAGTTCTGTGTCAGGCATGCATCAGCAGGGATTTATTTACTTAATGATATTAATATTTCCCTGGAATGGCCTTTGGGGTTGAGTTTATGTATAAATGTGTTTTACAATTTTTCAGTATTAGAGGCAGTTTCAGCAGTGCCCCCTTTATCTGACATGGCTACTAAAGGAGTCATTGAAGGCTTGGTTATAATTAGTTATTCTAGGTAAACTGGCTTTTCATGTTGGAGTACTACAAACTGTTTAAACCATTTTCATTGATTTTTTTTCTTTGAAATTTCACCACATTTTGCTTTAAGCTAATAAAATACAATATGGCTTGTAGCTCAGAAGGATCGTGTTTGCAGCATGTTCAAGGCCCTGGGTTTGATCTACGGTATCACAAGAAAACAGAGCACATTGTAGATGAACCTTTTCCTGATGACCCAGAGTAATGCGATTAAAATGAAAAGCTGTGTGATACAAGATGTCCTCAGGAACTTACAATACTTATTCTCTTAACCACTGAGTAGACAGTCTTGGCTGACTCCGTTCCTGCAGTCTTCTCACAGGTCTGGCACTAAGAAAAGACTTTTCTACTGTCCTATTACTGTCCCTGATGCTATAGCATTGCCTTGCTACAGTAATACACACACACACACACACACACACACACACACACACACACCTTGAATTGCCTTATAGCTTGTTAGAGTAGCCTTGGAAACCAAATAAACAATGTTTTAAACAAAACATAAATGCTAAAACCACTCTGACTTTGGGACCATTTAACAGAAAATCCTTTTGTCTGTTTTCATGTCTTCCCCTACGTTTGGATAACTGTGTTTATCTGATAGCTTTTTTTCCTAAGTAAGTGGGTTGTTCAAGTTTCCTCATGAGAAATTGAAGTATTACTTTTCAGATGTAATGGAAAGAGAAGTTCCTTGTCCAGTATCACATCAGTTTCCTTTTTAAATAGTAAATAGGTTCAAATTTTTAAAAGGAATTCATAAATCCATACTAAAGTAGATTGGCTAATGTCAGTGGAAGAGTACTCATATTGTGTGCATGAGGCCCTGAGTTTGTCCCCCACCACTGATAAAAGAACTACAGACATAAAAACAAATATTCATATGGTAGAATGTAGTGTAGGGGGAACATCATGCAATAGGTGGCAAACATTGGGGAGAACCATTGGTGAATCTATACATTTAGGAAAAAGTGTAGATGAGGAACCAGATGCCTGCATGGTCTTGGTGAGTTTATCTGCTTTATCGGCTACAGGGGCAAAAATCAGTCACACTTGGCTCACAGATGAGGGACAGACAGACATTATTTGCTTTCAGATAGGATTCTCTGGAGATGCGACATCTAAGTGCAGAAATAAAGTTCAGTTCCCAGGGAGCAGTATTTGGTTTTGTTTTTAAGGGGGATGATGGTGGATAATCTTTGGGTCTGTTAATATCATAAAAGACAAAAGCTGTGGAAATATTAGAGTGGAAGAGGTGTGACACTAAGTGAGATACTGGACTGGGTCTTTTCCAAAAGGAACCAAAAAATGAAGGGCATTAGTAGGTTAATGGAAAACTGTAGATTAAAGTATACAATTAATGTTAAAGTCACTGACATCACTAATGTGGTTACATCCTTAGGAACTGTACACTGAAGTATTTAGGAGTAAACAGCAAAGATTATAGATATATACACATGAATGATTAAAAAGATACAGTATGTCTACATTATTTATGTAAATATATGTAAAGATAAAATGTTAACAGCAGGTGACTAGGCAAAAAGTGGGCATTTGCAATCTTTCTATAAATTCAGAGTTATGTTCAGTAAAATTTGGTCTTTTAGTTTTGGTTTTGGTTTTTTGAGACAGTCCCATGTAGTCCAGACTGACTTCAAACTACATTTTGGAGAATGACCTTGAATTCTCTGCCCTCCTGTGTCCACTGTCCAGGTGCCAGGGTCACAGGCCTATGCCAGTGCACCCTGCTCAACTGGAATCGTTACCTTTTGAGCCCTGTGTGGACACAGGCTGTCATCCCAGCTCCTGGGAGGAAGGTGGCATAAACAACCATCTCTTTGCTTTAAATAAGCATCACACTTCTTTTCCTACCTTACTTTCTTTTTTTGTTTTTTTTTTTTAATATTTTTGCTTTTGGGAGTTCTGTTTGTTTCTTTGTGGCAGGGTTTCTCTGTGTAACACTGGCTGTCCTGGAACTTTCTCTGGTAGACCAAGCTGGCCTTGAACTCAGAGATCCGCTTGCCTCTGCCTCCTGAGTGCCGGGATTAAAGGCATGCTCCAACCATAGGAAGCTACTAGTCATCAAACACCATCAGAGTTCTGAGAAGGATAAATCTCACCTGAGTTAGCGATTGAAAATGACAGAAACTTAATCTGCAGGCTACCTCGACAAGTACCCAGGGTCCTCCATCATTGTTGAGGGCAGAAGTCTAGAGGAAACATCACTCTTCTGCTGTTAGGTCTTTGTAGTTAATTATATAATGATTTACTGTTTTATCAATGTACATTTCTTTACTGTTTTGTTTTTCTGAGATGGGAGTCTGTAGATTAGGGTTAAAGGTGTACACCACCACTGCCCAGCCTCTATGGCTAACTAGTGTGGTTGCTGGAATTAAGGGTGTGTACCACCACTGCCTGGCCTGTATGGCTGGGGCTAGCTTTGCATTCTGATCTTCAGGCAAGCTTTATTATATCATAAACAATATATTATCACAATTCCCCTTTTGTCTAATACAAAAAGGTTATAACTAATATAAAAGCTGTATACAATAAGTACAGTAACTATATAATATATATTATACATAGGCAATAAGTATATCAACGGTGTCTAGTCCATTTGCATTTGACAGATTCTGGGAAAATACTCTATTATCTGTCATGTCTTGGTGAAACCAAAAGGTTGTACCTAATTCACTTTCTATTCTAGTTTGCATTATCAAATTATCTTTTAATGTCTCTCAACCTTTTACACTTTACACCTCCTTAGTGAGTTTCTTTTCTGAGTCTGGTAAACAGGGAAGGCTATAACTATCTAGTCTTCAACTCCCTCAGAGACCCAACAAGGAAGTAATATTAACTGAGTAAGCAGGAAGTATGAGCAAGCAACTTCCCCCAAAATGTGAGAAATGACAAAAACAGCTGACTGCCTGGACCGTCAACCAAGGTTCTTCTGCAATGTTGGAGCATCCGTCTTTGGCCTATAGGCCTCGCATATCTGACAGACTTTTCTGTGAAGCAGGATTTTTGAAGGACCATCCTGCCTTGTCTTGGCAAGCTTTGGCAGTCACTCTCTTTTGTGTCCTGCTTGTCCAATTTGGACAGCATGCTGTCAGCAGTCAAGGTAAGGACACATCTTGCCCAGTGGCTACTTCCGCCACAAAGAAAATAAACTCCATGTGAAGTTTCTTCGATGCCCATCATTTTTCTCTGTAGTAGATTGGTGCTACCAGGAGCAGATATGTTTCATTGTCATTACAAAAAAAAGAAAACCTATGTTATTAAAACATCTTAAATGCCATATTCTGTAGATCTCTGAAGTGTTTGAAGACGACCTTTCTAAAATGTATCTCTGTTAGACCTTGAAAACATACCTAATGTAACCACAAGTTCGATTGTAATAGGTAACTCATTACTAGCCTGCATTTCCTTATTATCCTATATAGTTGGTAATAATAACTTTCAAGGACTAGAAATTTGTATTACACTGTTAAATGAGCTATATAGGCACAATACCTTGAACAAGGTTAGAAATGTATGTACGTTTTAACCAAACTAATCTCAAGTTTGTATCAATATACAATATTTGTATGCAATATATATAAGTCCAATCCAATGTAAAATATTTAAAACTAGTAGTTTTTTTAAAAGTAGAGTCAGTAATCTACCATTTAATCTTATCGTATCTTCCCTTTTTTCTTTTCAGAGTAAATTCAATAATCTATCTTTATCCTGTATCTGTACCCCCCACCTTTTTTTTCCAAAACAAAAGCCTTGAATCTATTCCCCTTTGGTCAACTTTCTTTCTGACTATAACCAACAACATTTTGTAACCAATCTCCCTAAACAGTGACAAATATCCTTAACCCATTGAATGATCAAAAACCAGCCACCCCAACTCTTGGGAATGTGTATGTCATGTTCTTAAAGTTACTTCCTGCTGTCTGGTGGCAGTGACATCTTTAGGGGATCTGGAAAAGAAAACTTTTGGGTTAACTGTCAAGCTATATCATTTTTGTCCAGTCTCTGCATAATGGGAAAGTGCAGGGCTTGTCTCAATTCCTGGCTGGAGTAGTCTGTGAGGCTGGATCATCTCAGCTGGCCTCCTTGAAATTGTTCTAAGCAGTTTGTAGTCCAAAGCCAATCTTTA